TCGCACGTGCCTGCCATTCTCAGGGGTCCCGAACCCAGCAGGCACCGCCACAGCCCTGCCGTAAAGCGGACACTCACTACAAGGATCATGGGTCCAGGGAAGAGCTCTACCTCCTCGCAGCCGACACTGCCTAACAGGTACTGCGGCTTCTGAGCCAGTCCACTGCCCCGAAGATCCAGGCCCGGATCCAAATAGAGGGGTCCCCCTGCACTATGGAGCTCGATTCCAGCTGCCCTTGGGGGGGGCCCGCCTGCACCCATCTACCCTTACCCTGACAAACTTTCAGAGGAACCGCGTTCCGATAAAGTGTGTGGGGAGTTTCTGGGTCCAGGGCAAGGGGTTTGATGGCCACTTGGACTTAGTTGTGGTCGAGGGTGACCTGGTCAGTCTTCTCAGCCACGCGTGGTTTGCCCATTTGGGAATTTCGATAGAGGGGGTACAGCTCTGCACCTCACAGGACTTCCAGGAGATCTGTGACGAGTTCCCATCCGTTTTCAACGGTACCCTGGGTTGCTACACGCCCCCCCCCGGTATCGCTGCAACTCGACCCCAATGTGGCCCCCATCCACATTGCGCTCCAGGATGGTTTCCTTCACGCTGTGCCCCAAAATAGATGCGAAACTGGACCGTCTCATGGGGCAGGGAGTCCTGGAACCAGTATCCCACGCAGCGTGGGAGACCCCAATAGTCACCCCGGTCAAACCGAACGGGGATGTCTTCATCTGCACAGATTACAAGTGCACGCTGAACAGGGCACTACAAGACCACGCATACCCGGTCCCAGTCGTTAGCTACGTGCTTGCCTCCCTGGCAGGGGCCAAGATTTTTGGTAAACTGGACCTAGCCCAGGAATACCAACAGCTCCCGGTTGACGAGGCTACCACCACTGCGCAGACTATCGTCACACACCGAGGGGCTTTCAAGGTTAAAAGACTGCAGTATAGGGTGAGCATGGCCCCCAGGCATCTTCCAACAACTAATGGACTCTCTCTTGAAAGGGATCCCGGGCATCACGCCATTTTTCAATGATGTGCTGATTGCCGTGGCAATGCCTGCTGAGTTCACCACCAGAATGCGCACCGTCCTCTGCTGTTTCCACGAGGCAGACTTGAAAGTGAAGCGGGAAAACTGCCTACTATGGGTTCCATCTGTAGACTTTCTGGGCTTCATGGTCAACATGGACAGCCTCCGCCCGGCTAGGGACAAAATAAAAGCCATCGTTGAGGCACCCCCACCCAGATCCAAGGCGGAACTCCAGACGTTCCTGGGCTTATTGAACTTCTACCATGCCTTCCTCCCCCACAAGGCGGCGGTAGCGGAGCCCCTGCATTGCCTCCTGGACAAGCAAGCCCCCTGGTTGTGGGGCCCTCCCAGGCCACCGCATTCAAGGGAGTAAAACCGCTGTTGATTTCAAATAAAGTTCTGGCGCATTTTGATGAGTCGCTGCCTGTGGTTCTGGCCTGCGACGCATCCCCCTACAGTATTGGTGCGGTGTTGGCCCACCGTCTCCCACAGTAGGCCCATCACCTACTACTCCCGGACACTGTCAGCGGCGGAGCAGAACTATGCCCAGATAGAGAGGGAGGGCCTGGCGATTGTGGCCGGAGTAAAGAAATTTCATGACTTTGTGCATGGCCGACCCTTTATCATAGTCACAAACCACCGCCTCCTCCTTTGACTTTCTGCCTCTGATCGTCAGACGCCACAGGTCCTTTCCCCGCAGGTCCTGAGGTGGTCCATTTTCCTGTCCGGCTACTCTTACTCCCTGCAGCATCACCCAGGCAAGGCTATTGGCCACGCTGACGCTCTGAGCCGCCTGCCCCTGCGATCCGTGGAGGATGACCCGGCTCCAGCCCACCATGTTCTGCAGGTAGAGGACCTTCCCAATTCCCTCCTCCAGGCAGCAGATGCTGGCCGCCGCTCAGCCAGAGACCCTGTCCTTTCCCAGGTTCCGGGCTGGGTGGTGGCCTTTGGCAGCAGAAGAACCTGAGATCACAGCCTTTGCCACTTGCAGAGATGAATTGTCCACGTACAAGGGCTGTTTATTGTGGGGAGACAAGGTAGTTGTCCCCAGCGCACTACGTCACAGAGTCCTGCAAGCTCTACATGAGGCCCATCCCAGCATTGTCCAGATGAAGGCCCTGGCCCAGAGCTACGTGTGGTGGCCAGGTAGAGGCCTGGGTAAAGCGCTGCTAGACATGCCAAGCTGTCAGGCCCAATCCGCCGAGCACACCCACCCAAGCCTGGGAATCCACCCAGATGCCATGGTTAAGGCTCCATGTTAATTTCGCTGGGCCATTCCACGGGCTGCTGTTTTTAGTAATGGTGGACTCTTATTCGAAATGGTTGGAGATAAGCCCAGTCTCCGCCACTTCCTCCAAAGCCACCATCCGGGTGCTCCACAAGATCTTCGCCACCCATGGGTTGCCGGACACCATCGTCTTGGACAACAGGACGGCATTCACTTTGGAGAAATTCCAGGAGTTCCTCCGCAGCAACCTGATTTGGCACATAAGGTCTGCCCCGTTTCACCCCGCCACAAACAGCCAGGCGGAGCAGATGGTGCACACCGCCAGGAAGCCCTCAGCCGGCTGCCATGAGGGATGTCTGCCATGCTTCCTCCTGGGGCAACGGACCACCCTGAACCCGATCAGCGACCGCTGCCCCGCGGAACTCCTCATGGGCCAGTGGCCTCTTGGACAGACTGATCCTCTTGGACAGACTGCTCCCAGACAGGGCCCCAGAATCGTGCAATCTGTCCGAGCAGAGGGAGGCTCCACGGGGATTCTTCCCGGAAGACGCTGTCTACATCCGGAACTATGGTAAAGGCCCTGAATGGAGGACTGGCCAAGTCATCCACCCCACTGGCCCCGTGTCCTACAAGGTCTCGACAGACTGCTGACAGGTCCTGTGGAAGCATGTCAACCAGCTGCGTAGGCGCATGCTCCTGGCTCCAGCGGAGGTTCTGGCCCCGGGGAACCCCAAGGTGGAGCTACCAGACATCCCGGAACAAGGAACTGCCAACGGGAGTTTGCTGGAGCCAGCCCCCATTGCTGCGGCCGCACCAGAAGACAGAACGCTGGCCTCCGCGTTGGCACCAAAAGAAGCTCCACTGCCTCCTCCCCCTAGTACTCTGGGCGAGGGGCAGGACAGGCCTCCCGACATCCCAGTTCCGACCCCGAGGCATTCCACGCGAGAACACCGGACCCCAACTTATCTTAAGGACTAAGTTACATAGGCTGGGTTTGAACTACGGGGGGAGGGGTGTTATGTCCGCTGACCGCCACTAGGCGCCAGCGACTTATACCAGAGCTTGGCTCTCAGAGACAATAGGGACTAGGATCCTGAAACCTCAAGTGGTCACCAATAGGAACCTTGGCAGGAAGTTTAAACCCTCCAATAGGACCTGTGGGTGTTCCACGGGGACTGTATATAGTTGGCTGCCTGGCCGGTATTTGCGTTGTTATGTTGTGTACTAGTAAATGTGCTAACAATCACGCTGTTTCCTGATCATTCAATGTGGCGAACCCACTACACAACACTTGATGAGTTCTAATTCAGCATGTTTGCATTGTATATTCCCTTTGATTTCCTTTCCTGAAGAAGAGTCACTTTCAGATCTGTAGCAATATGTCCAAGAAGATCAAAACCTTCACACACTTTCTGAGTGTTGCAATGTCTTATGGTAGATGTGTGTTCACTGATTCTCTCAAGTAGCTTCTGACACATTTGTCCAATGTTGATAGCTGGCACATGATGGCATATATTAAATTGGACAATATGCAAGAAGAAAAGCTCAAGATGGTGTAGTTGATGTTATTAGGTTCTATAATACTACTAGCTGAGTGTATGTGGGGCAAAGTTGGCATCTGAGTCTGTTGCAAGCCTTGGTTCCTGTGTTTGTGTATCTGTTGGGTGATCCATGGTTGTTTGTAAGAAGCTGTGTTGACTTAGGGGTTGTCTACGTGAGGAACAGCCTGCCACCCAAAGTCTGTCAAAGAAAGATATCCTTAGCCAGGAGAGGCTGTAGGTCACTGATGATATGTTTGGGTGGTTTCAGTTGTGAACTGTAGGTGATGACCAGCATTCCCCCTGCCCCGTTGTTGTCTTCCTTGGGTTTGTCTTGTAACAGTCCTGCTTTGGGTACAAACCCAAGGGCTAAACAGATGCCTTTAACTACACAGGTGGCATTTTTTATTTGCAAATATATATACTGAGCATGCTGGAGCAGGCAGCCACCCAGTGCTAGTTCATAAAGCACCAACAGTAGCCACAAAGCAAAGAGCATCCATCTGGAGTCTTTAAGGTGCCTCCTTCCAAAACTTAAAAGGCTGAATTAATGTATGCCCTTTGAATTACTTGACAGCCCTTCCCTGATGGTATGCACACGTGAAAAGCAGAAAGGCACTTTTAAATGTGTTTGCTTTGGGTTTCTGAGCCAGCTGACAGCCAAACCAGAAATGTAACTTAAAAACTGCATTCTAGTCTTCCTGCATTTTATAATGTCCTCAAAAGTATAGTCTAGCATATAGGCTATATTTCTTCCATTCAAATCTGTCTTTGCCTCCCCAATACACACACACACAGAGATCTCAGGCCCACTCTAGAGTGTACACTTGTCTTGTTCACCATCCATTATTGCCGCAAAAATCTCTTCTAGACACTAGTATTCATTGATAAAGCTTTGGCTGATCATTATCAAGCCATCAATACTATAAAAGATCACTTAATAACTATTTCACCATGTTTATAATAGATTTGGGTTTTTAATAAATACTGGACTAAACAAGTTTTATTTAGTTTGTATAAACTGACAAGACATTCCGGATGTAAGGTTTGACCTTCAGAGCAAACTTTATCTATACTAAGTTATAAAAGAAAGTATGCAAACTATGTGAAGCAGATATTTGGACCCTTCATATCTGTGCACTTTAAAACTGGCACAGATGCATCATATTTGCCATATTATCTTGTTAAAATGTATATATTTTGTTACAAACCTGCCATGGCCTTCTCCCCAGCATAAGATCATCAAATTGAACTTATCATTTCCTTTATCCACAAGATTTCTCGTATATCTGAAACAATAAAAACGTGGTTTTCTTTTTATCATCATCAGTAAGAGGCAGAACAAATATTAAAAGCATACATCCTTGTCCTGCATCTTCAAGCATAAAAAACAGGGCCAAAGAAACAATAAGTTCTTAAACTTCCATCTATCCAATTCCCCACTCTTATCAAGTATTATTTCTTTATAGAGTTGTATGACACTTCTACTCATTAGATTTCAGTTCCTTTGAGCTACGGGTACCCACTACACACTTGCATTTTGGTTGTTAGTGCAACCTACTTTACAGGGTTATAAAAGGGAACGATGGTCCCGGTCACACGGGCCAGAAAATGTGGGGGGGAAGCGTGGTTGTTTGCCCCGGAGCAAAGTAACATGCGACAGCCCAATCACATGTCCCATCGAGGTCCCGTGGTTAGGCCATTAGGTGCCGATCACATGGCTATCCTGCAGCGTGGCAAAGAAGTGGCGCAGCGCAATCACACCGGCAATCGCTAGGTGCCGCTTCCGTGGCAAACGGGAAATTTTTTTCACACCAAAGTTTGCGCATGCACATGATTGTTTGTGCGCATCTTGTGGAGACTTACCAAAAAAACCCCAAACATCAGGTGTGCGACGGGACGTGGACGGGCGCCAGATGCCACGGGATTCAAGTGGAAACGCGATCAGACGCCCGCCCTTCCCCCACGTTTCCCGGAAACTAGTACCTCGTATGTGGTAGTTTTTTACTCCGCATCTTCGGCGAGAAGCCACGGGTTAGCCACGGATGTACTACGCTTTCCAGATGTTGCAGTGGATCGCACACTGAAAATCCGCCTATCATCTGTGTCTTTAGCGCAGCAACTTCTCCGTGTGAACGGGACCTAAGATCATAATCTATATAGTGCAATCCTATGCAAAATTACCACATCTGAAGCCCAATTAAATAATGGGAAAAATCTACACGTGCAATCCTTTTGGCATGCTTTGAACGTGCTATGCATATTTTAAACCAAGACAACAATCCAGATGATGGACCTGAAAGCCATAGCTCCACTAATTTATTTAAAACATTTCTCTCTCAGCATAGCAGTTTAGTTATTCATTCATTTAATTCATTTGTACCCTGCCTTCCTCTCCAGTGACGACACAAAGTAGCTTACATTGTTCTTCTCTAGCTTATCCTCACAACAGCCCTGTGGGGTAGGTTATGCTGAGAGTGCCTGACTGGCCCAAGGTCACCCAGCAAGCTTCCATGGCACAAGTAGGAAGTCAAACCCAAGTCCCTCAGATATCAGTCCAACACTCTTAACCACTACACTACACTGGCACCTAGTTCTGATTCTTAGTCACTACTATTCAAACATATCAATAGAAACAAAGAGACCAGTAACAACAAACCAGCAGCAAAGCAATAAAAGAAGCATCAACCAAAAATGCATCACAGAGATCAATAGCAATTAAAGTCAGCATTGTTGTCACTCCATATCGCCTTTCAAGGAACAATCTAAGGCAGGTCTACTCATAAGTAAGTCCCATGTTATTCACCAGTACTTACTCCCAGGTAAGCATTCTTAGGATTGCAGCTACAATTAGACACACAATTGCATGTTTCCCTTTGGTTGTGGCTCTGATTGAAGCCCATTTTCAATTTGACACTTCTAGATGAGAGCAGTAGTCCAAACAGATTTAAATTTGTAGAGGTACCCTGTTCAAATCCATATTAAAGTTAGAAACTCATAAGTCAAAAACATACCTGGAAAAGCTACTTTTAAAACAAAATTCAGCAACACCGTTTATAAAAAATAGAAAGCTGCATCAAAAGTAACCGCTGCCTGAAGTTGCAGCATTGAGAGTATTGCACAAAACTTCCGTGACAAGGATGCGGGGAACACTCTTACACTCTTACAATCTGCTTTCCCATCATACTTTCCCTATTTAAACTGTTGTTTTTTTTTTTAAAAGGAAACACTTATTTTAACGTGTGCAAAGTTCCTGGAGAAATGCCAGGGCAGAGGGCATTCTGCCAACCAAGTTAAGAACCAACTGTTCAACTGCACCCACTCCAAGGGTTGCACAACAATCCGCGTTTAAGAAGCTGTCTAAAAAAACCCTAACACAATAGGGGAGGGGGTTGGTGGGATTCGATAAGAAATACTACATTAAATTAAGCTAGGTCATGTCTTTTCAATTGACGAGGCGAGGGCAGCTAATGCCCAGCTAAAATATTTTTATTACGGATTAGTTTGTCTCTTTTAAACGTTACCACCGGCTTGGGTGGGTACACACAATTCTAAAACGAAGGCGAGTTCGCAGATGTTCAGAAGGACGCCTTCCGAAAGGAGCCCTCTAGGAGGCCCCACGTAGGGGGTGGTGCAAGAACCCAGAGAAGTTATTGATTTGCTGACGCGGAGTGTTTATCACAAACATCGGCGGGATGATTCAGCGTTGTTATGGAACATAATAAAAACAGAATTTTAGACTGCATTATTGCTTTTATCTAATCGGATTTGGGGAGCGGAGATAACATCGCACTTGGCACTTCTTCGATTCGCCGGGGCTCCCGTGGCTTGCCGCTTTACAGCTGAAATGACACTTTACAGCGGTGATCGTCAAGGGCGCCCCTCCTTCGCCCGCCCAGCAGGAAACGTCTCCCGCGGGCTCTCAGGAACTCCCCGACACCCCCTGCCCGGCCGCTTCAGCAGCTCCTTCTCTCAACTCCGCAGCCATTGGCCAAGCAGCTCGGGGGTGTAGCTAAAGGACGGCCGCCATTGGCCAGTGGGGCCTCTCCCCCTCCCTAGCTCCTCCTCTGCGCGGCACTCGGGAAAGGCCCCGCAAGGAGTGGGAGGGGCAGAGAAAGGGAAAGGCCGCGCGGGAGATGCGGCTCGCTCTCGGATTGCTGCCGGCCTGGCGCTCTCCACACGGCGCTTCGGTGCACACGGGCCTCTTAACCGAGCATTTCAGCACCCCCCCTCTTCCACCCGCAACCGTGTGGAAAACCATAAGGAAAGTCTAACGGGCTGATTGCAGGTTTCTGGACTGATGGCCTTGCAAAAAGGTTGATTTGCAATCCCATCGACACCTGCTTGCACTTTACAACGCACCTGTGATTACAAGCCTCCTTCCTTCCCTCTCACCCACATGGATTTCTCCACCAACCGTCAGAGAAGGACACAGGTGAGCAGACTGAGAGGGCGGAATGCTCGTTTGAGCGTCTCTTCGTACTGCATTCTGTGTTCGTGTCAGTGTCCCCTTTTCGTTTGGATTAAAACCAGTGGTGCCTCTAGGGCTGTGATCACACACTTTCAATATACTTTCCAACTGGATTTTACTGTGTGAACTGGCAAAATCTAGTTGGAAAGTGCATTGAAGGTGGATTATTTAGTGTGTGTGATCGCAGCCTAGGTTTTGTTTAAAAAAAACCCATTTGGCATGAAGTACCATGACTACTTCCACACAGGAATTTTCTCCTGCATGGAATGCAGGAAGCCACCAGATCAAATGGGAGCATCTACACAATCTCATGCCCACTCTGAACAACACTCTTATTCTTCCTGTGGTTTCCCCCTGTAAACTGGATAAAAAATAAACCTCATTTGAACAATGGGGTGGCTGTGGGTCCCCACACAGCCACCCAGATTTCCTCCTTTGGACCAGAGGAGATGGGATGGATCAAAACTCTGGGCTTTGTCTCCCCTCTAAGGGCTCCCCACCCCAGCTGAGCTCTTCTGTAGCTGTTACAGTACAGTTTAGCTGGTGAAAGGAAAGGCAAAAAAAGGCTTTCAGGTCCCAGGGGGCCTTGGCCTCTCATTATTTTGTTGTAAAAATTGGGGGGAGAATACCACAATTAATTTGCACAGTACATCTGGGATCCTCCTGCTGTGCTTTTTTTGGACCACAGGTTAGTGGGATTCTGAAAACTAGAAGTTAAGAGGACTGCCTATCGGGAGCCAGAAAGTACTGTACCCCTTTCTGCTACTGCTTCAGTCAGCCAAGCTACTGGTCTGCCTAGTATGGGAGAAGAGGAGAAAACAAGTTAACAGACAATATGTTGATAAAATTGACTGAACAAGTGAATAACATGGGAATGAGGGTACCAATGGAATGGAGGGAAGGGCAAATCCAAAATACGGACATAACCCCTGGTCCTTGGGTTACATTTGCCTAGGAAGGCAAAGGATCCAGTCTTTTCAAGCACTGAAACTTATTGTGGCCCCGGTCAGACGTGTCGGAAAATGCGGGGGGGGGGGGTTGGGGGCCTTTTTCGCCGGCCCCT